AGTATGGAGGCAAATGTCAAAAATTCAGTTGGTTTCTGTCCTCTGCGTCTTGAAGTAGCTCAATGCATTAGACTACATGCATAAAGATGTTTATTTACTCTAGGGTGACCATACGTCTTCTTTTTCCCAGACATGTCTTGGCTATGATTTCTAAGTTGTCTAAAATATCCAGGTTTTGGCTTTACTTTGCTATTGTTTTCATACTTGCTGAAGGTAATGACTGAAAAGTAGTTTGACCAGTAGCGTGCAGACATTGTACATAATCGACCAATCGTAGGATACAATAAGGTGGGATCTACAGAGAATGGTCAAAGCAATGCAAAGAGACTTACATATAATGTTTGAGGACTGTAGAGAGCTTGTAGGAGAACAAAGCCAAAACTTGGCAATTTAGAAATTTGACCTAGAAACGCCTGCATACTTAAATTGGTGTACTGGAAGAATCACTGCTGCATTGGTTAACAAGAGCTCTCATCTGTTTCTAGACTTGTTCAAGTACCGGCTGATCAACAGCAAACTCATCAACAGCACTTTTCTGCATAACAAAGAGGGCTGTATGCTGGATTTCAGCGATGAGAACAACGCGTACATGATCTATTTCGTCAGCTTCCTCGGCACACTTGCTGTCCTGCCCGGGAACATCGTGTCTGCCCTGCTCATGGACAAGATCGGACGTCTAAGAATGCTGGGTAAGAAAAACAAGTTGCATCAGTGCTAAATAGTTTTTGGAGCTCTGAATAATATGAATTCTTTTTAAAAAATAATAAACATTTGTTCTCACTCTTGTCATCTGGTGCAGCGGGTTCCAGTGTGATTTCCTGCGTCAGCTGCTTCTTCCTGTCGTTTGGAAACAGTGAATCTGCTATGATTGCCTTGCTCTGTCTGTTTGGGGGCATCAGCATTGCGTCGTGGAATGCCCTGGATGTGCTAACAGTGGAGCTGTACCCCTCGGACAAGAGGTGGGTCAAGCTCGTATTTCTGTGATTACTGTGCATCTATCACAATTGTCCTCTTTTCTCTCTGCGTGTGTATTTAACAGTGATCTCAATACATATTTGGGCACTTACGCCACATTTTACAATGTATATTTGTAAAGGAATTGAATAAAAGCAAGATTCTCTTCTCCTTTAATGAAAATGTTTTCATACTGTGTGAAATGATTCGAAAGATTAATAGATCAAATGTATGTCAGTAATTCTGTGCTGCATTGCCACTGCAGTGCAGATCAAATACATCATAATTTAGGGCATATCTAAAAATTCTCAGTCAAAATGAATGAAGTCTCAGCAGTTCTGCCACAAAGTGCTATGCATTATTTCTAAGAAAATATGCTGACAGTGCCTGCTTTACAAAAGGGGCTCTTTAGCACCCCTAAGAGTTCAGAATCGATTTCAGAAACTGACAGTTTTGGAGACATTTACAATATTATAAAAGATCACAAATAACTTTCTATTTAGCAAAAACCTTTTAGTGAACAGTTCTTATAAGAATCATGTTTTTCTTAGTCTGAAGAATTTTTTTCTGCTATTAAGAAGCTCTTCTGCAATGAAAAAGTTCCATGGTTGTTAAAGCTTTTTTTGTGGAACCATCAGTGACCAATAAAGAACCTTTAATTAAAAAAAGTGTAGAATGATTTCTGAAGGATCATGTGAAAAGCTGAAAAGTTATCTTTGCATCACAGGAATAAATTTCATTTTAAAATAGGAAAAAAGTTATTTAAAATTTTAATGATATTTCACAATATTACTGTTTTTAGAGCAAATAAAAGGAGCCTTGGTGAGCATAAGAGACTTCTTTGAAAAAGAAGGACGAATTTCTTTATAAATAGATCTGATTTATGAAATTTTAAATATTTTTCTTCTTTTCCACAGAACTACAGCCTTTGGCTTTCTAAACGCCCTCTGTAAGTTAGCTGCAGTTCTGGGCATCAGCATCTTCCAGTCGTTTGTGGGCATCACTAAAGCGGTGCCCATCCTCTTTGCATCAGCAGCTTTGGCAGTCGGAAGCTTCTTGGCTCTCAAGCTTCCTGAGACTCGCGGTCAGGTGCTTCAATAGTGCAGCGTTCCAGCATGCAGGTGGCGGCGTTTGAGTTTGACCCTGTCCTTGAGTGAGCAATGCTGGAAGCAGCCCACACAAATCCAACATTTACAGATATCTTCATTCCTCCAATATGTGCAATCGTATTATTATTTCATTCAATTTAATTTGATTTCATTCCGATCTACATTTATAGACATGTTCCCTGCTGATGTCTCACTGTCTTACAGGAATATTGGAAACCCTATGTGTATGTGTGTGTGTGTGTGTAGAAAAACTGCCATGTTAAACACATTCCAGCTTTACGTTATGAAATGAATGTGAAATTTAACATGATCATTTTTGACTTTCCCTTTAATCTTCATCCGAGCCATCACGTGATTTGAAAACCGTCACTGAGGACCCGTGAAAGCAGTAGGTAGATATATTTGAATGGACAGTGTTGATCTAGTGGTGCTGGTGATGGTTATTGTTGTTGCTTTACTCTAGTCCGTTGTGTCCCAAAAACTTAAAAAGTGTGTGATGCCGCAATTGTCTGCAATATCGGCTCAAGCACTCCTCACTTTTTAGATGTTTTAATGCATTAACACTGACGTCACATTACTATAGACAGTGGTTCACTCATTTTTGGCTTTCGGAATTCAAATTCGGTTGTTCTTTCAAAACGTCTGATTATTGACGGTGTTGTGCATGCAATGAAGCGTGTCGATTCATAAGAATATGCTTGAAGATAGTGAACATAACTGATGAAAGTGCTCTGTATTACGCTACTCTACCTATGATTCTTTGGACATGATGTAAAATATGAGATAAGTGACATGATGGGTTGTCATTTGTATGGTTTAGTATGCCATTATTCATACTTTGCATTGTTTTATGCTACTATCATACTTTGTCCCAGAGTTTGTGTTCCTATTGAGATCCACAGAGCAGTTTTAGTGGCGTCGCTTTCGAATGTGCGCCATCATTGAGATAAACGTTACATTCGCCCCGTTTTCATACATAAAAATCCATTAAGAAAAAACTAAAGGAAAAAAATGAACAAATGAAGCACAATGTGATTTGATTAAACTGTCAAAAACAAAAGTTTTATTTTGATGATTATGTAAATTATGTATTGAATATAAATATATAAAAATTAGCTGTAATTCAAGTCTGTCTGTTTGAACACTCAAACTATTATTAAATATATCAACATATATATAAGAAAAGATATTTACATGTTCAAATGTTGAACTAGTATCAACATATGTCTTAGATAGATTCCATTTGATGTATGTATATACAGTTTATCTGTTCATTAAGGGATTTCATTTTTTTTTATCAAAGCAAATATATAAAAAAATGACTGAACAAGTCAATACACTGATTTGCAGCACACACAATCGCCCTCCTTCACGTTTTCTCTTGTGTTCTTGTAAAGAAACAGAGGTATCCGTCTGTGTGTGGGTGTGTGTGTAAGTATGGAAGTATGTGTGCTTGCATGTGAAATGTTTCAAATAATAAACAAATGGTATGATGCTTGACTCGATTATTGCAGTTCTTCACACACGCACCACTCAGACAAACTTATACTCAAGAAAATTCTGTCATTGTTTACTCACCATCATCAAGTCAAGTCAAGTCTGCTTTATTGTCAATTCTTCCACATGTACAGCACATACACACAAGCTGATGCCGCGGGAAAGGTTGATTAAATGGTTCCATGTTCTTCTTTTGTGAAACACAGACATGAATGTTTTGCAGAAGGTCCAGGGCCTGGTTTTCATGCAAATAGAAATTGCCTACTTGGCAGTTGGCTCAAAAAAGCAGCAAAAAAGTATGTAAAAATATTAAGTAGGCCTATGACATGTATGCTATATTCCAGGGCTTCAGAAATTTTCAGATGTAATCACACAAATAAGCAATTACATTTTTGTTTGTACTTACTAGGCTACTTCTGATATGTAAATCTACAATAAATTGATAAAATATTAAATAAATAACAGTAGTTATGTTGTCAACTTGCAGTAACGTAGTCTACAGTATGTTATGGAATCACTGTATAAACATATACAGAATTAAAATGGATAGCATAGGCCTATATATAGGCTACTTTATGCAGCTGATAAAGTCTCAGGCGAATCTGATTTCAGTTTGCGACCATTTATTTGGCGGCGAATTAAACAAATATAACTAGAACAGGACTGAAAGATTTATCTCTTGATTATAGACTTACATATCATAGTATGTTACAGAATGCTTAAGCGTCTAGTTCTTAAGTCCTTAAGAAAGCAAAATTGGAGTGTCAAACCTCAACAATCAAATTTTTATATACTTCTGATAGCCTATGTTGCCTAAATCTACAATATAATGACAAAATATGAAATAACAGTATTTACGTGTTAGCTTACGGAACATCACTGTATGAACATATGTAGAATTAAAACGGTTTAGTAGGCTATAATTTGAATTTATGCAGGCGCTATGGTTGCACCCTCAGGTGAATTCGAATTCTGTTCGTGAACGTTTATTTGGCGCCAAATTAAAATGCGCGCTCGACTAACTTGTAGCTGAATTTTGAGGTGCTAAGTTGTCTGAAAAATAGGCTGTTTATGTAATGTATAACCAAAATAGAGATACCCTCAGGACTTCGGCTGTAGATGGAGGAGCTGAACACGCAGCAACATCGAAAGCTTGAGTTCTGATAGGTCTGGGAAAAGGGAATTCAAGTCTCTGGTCCATTGCTTCAGTAGATGGCGGTAATGCTCAATTGGTGATCACGAGCCGCCAATAAAAAAAACTAATAATAAGAAGAAGAAGAGATACCCTCAGTATCTAACGCAACGTTCTAGCTAGCCGTTAGGCGGCAGTAATGTCATTTCAGCCGTCAGCTTTCTAAACAGTGAAGGAGAATCTGCATGAATCGCTTCCTGTGAGTAATACAAAAACAACACTCCGGAGACGAAAGGTGAGAGAAATGATTTCGATATTTGATCATGCATTTTCTTTGTCACTTGTCATTGTGCTGTTTGCTTATGTAAACCTGTGCAAGAATTTATATTTTAAAGAGCAGCTATGAAGGCATATGTCATTTCTAACCTTTCGGCTGGATGAAGCTGCATAAGGTTTGCGGCTTAAATATACTATTTATTCAGCATGACATTTATCGATGAGATTGCGACGTGTACCTGGTGCACAGACGATTGTTGCAGTTTACTTTTATACATATTTTGACAACGTTTTATCAAGTTAATCCGCGCGTATAATAAAAAAAAATAATTTTAAAATAATTTCCAAACTTTTGACAAGTAATATCTATCTATCGATCTATCTATCAACATAGATATCCATCCTTTTTGATAAGATCACAGAAATCAGTAATATAATATAATACCCCTTACTGAGAAATAGCTCAATTTAGCTCTTTAATTTATTCCTTGCAATTTTGTAAGTTTAAATGTTTTAAGTTCAACAAAGCATATTTCTGGGAGTCTGGTGTAGCCTTTTATAGAAATACTTCCTTAAAATGACCACACACCATTTTTTTTTCTTATGTTATTGAAGATGAGAACTACAGGTGCATCTCAATAAATTAGAATGTTGTGGAAAAGTTCATTTATTGAATAGAATTTACAGATGTATCTCTTTATTATAGACTTGCATGTCATGCATATGTAGTATATTACAGAGTGCTTCATTGTCTAGTTCTAGTCCTTAAGAAGACAAATTGTGTTTGGGGTGCCAAATCACTCCTCAACAGAAATTTCTCACTGATCTTTGATGTTTTCCTGCAGCTGGTCTCGCCTGCGCCTGATGCTGTCCAGTGCTCTCCGCTGCCTGCGTCCCTCCACCTGCACCCTTGCCTTAACCAGACAGCTGACCCATCACCGGCCCCACATGGGTCCTGTGGAGACCACAATACGGACCAAACTGGCCCAGGCCCTCAAACCTGAGCACCTGGAGGTCATGAACGAGAGTCACATGCACGCCGTACCCGCTGGTTCAGAGTCCCACTTCAGAGTTCTGGTGGTGAGTCCTCAGTTTGAGGGTCTTTCGCTCTTGCAGCGTCATCGGCTTGTAAACGAGACCCTGCGGGAGGAGCTCAGCAGCTGCGTTCATGCCCTCGCCATCCAGGCTAAGACGCCTCAGCAGTGGAGCAGCAACCCCAGCCTGGCCAAAAGCCCCCCGTGCATGGGAGGATCCAAGCATGATAACACGATGGCTGAGAAACTGAAGGCGGGTCGAGACTGACTGACCAAAACTTAGTGTTGATGGGGATTTAATAATATAGTAATCAGCTATGAAGTTTTATCAGCATGCATATTTCTCACCTGGAGCTGATCGGGACTAATACACTATTTAATTGACTTCATACAAACAATATTATTATTATTATGCAATTTGTTCTTATTGGCTTGGACTGGTTAAGTACTATAATAAAATGTGATTTATGCTTCATGTAAATCAGAAGGAAGTGCTTCTCATTTTATCACATGGAATTAAAATGATCACCAAAGTATTAAAATCTCTTATAATTAAGTATTAAATCTCTTATTTTTTATTTTAAAATTAATGAAAGCTTATATAGCACAGCCCTGCATCTTGAAAAAATATTTCTGCTGATTTGCAAAAAAAAAAGGCATAATATTTCCTAATTTGATGATGCAGAGTTCAAAATCTTGCTTGTAGAGACCATGTAGAAACAGAAGATGTGCAGTGTTGCTATGGACAGTCATTATTTTATAAAAAATTGACCGCTGGCCAATCAGAATCAAGTGTTCTAGAAAGGCAATTTTATCCTTCTGGCTTTTAAAACCAGATTGTGTTATCTCACCTCTCTAGTATCTGTAGGCAGAAATGGTACCACCAGAGGGCAACAGATCATAAGTAGTATTCACATAAAGTACACTCACCCAGTCATTATGGCAATATTAGCTTTCTCTTCTTGTCAGGGTCATGCAGCTTTGTCATGTGGCTTATTGTGCATCCATTACTTTCTCTTAGCGATTAGTAAATACTGATAATGAGGGAATTTTGTTATATACATTCCCATTTAGTTTTATTCATTTAGCAGACGCTTTTATCCAAAGCGACTTACAATTGGGGAATACATCAAGCAATTCATCTTAGAGGCAAATAGACATAGGAAGTGCTCGTCATACCAAGTTTCAAGCATTGGTCAAATAAGTACAAGATAGACAGGGAAAGATTAAAGAAAAAAATAAAAGATTTGTTATGAACATGCAAAAAAAAAAACAGCGTTTAGAGAATAAGCTATGTTAGAGAACCAGATTAGTATTAAATATTAATGTACACTACCATTCAAAAGTTTGGGAGTTTTAAAATGTTTTGAAAAGAAGTCTCTTATGCACAACAATGTTGCATTTACCTGACAAAAATACAGTAAACAGTCATATTGAATAAATAAGCTTTCCACTGATGTTTGGAGCGATATTTGGCTGAGATACAACTATTTGAAAATCTGGAATCTGAGGGTGCAAAAAAAACGAATTTGATAAAAAAAAAAAAAAAAAAATCGCCTTTAAAGTTGTCCAAATGAAGTTCTTAGGTCATGTTAGTCATCAAAAATTAAGTTGTGATATATTTATGGTTGGAGATTTACAAAATATCTTCATTGAACATTTCTTTACTTAATATCCTAATGATTTTTGGCATAAAAGAGAAATTGATCATTTTGACCCATACAATGTATTTTTGGCTATTGCTACAAATATACCCCAGGACTTAAGACTGGTTTTGTGCTCCAGGGTCACATATATTTTAAAATGTAATATATTTCTGTGGTGCAAAGCTGAATTTTCAGCATCATTACTCCAGTCTTCAGTGATCCTTCAGAAATCATTCTAATATTCTAATCATTCTAACTTTCTTCTTACCAATGTTGAAATGTCGTGCAGCTTCATATTTCTGTGGAAACTGATACATTTCTTTTCAAGATTACATTCAAAAGAACAACATTTATTTGAAATAGGTATTTTTTTGTAACATTGTACATTACTTTACTGTACTTTAAATCAATATAATGCATCCTTGCTGAAGAAAAATTCTTACTGACTCTAAACTTATTTTTAAGTGTTATTGTACAATTCACATTATGTCTTCCTGAGATAGGTAGATGGTTTGTCATCAGTGATGAGGGGTCACTGCTGGAGAAGTGGACAGAACTGTGCTTCATCACTGAAGTATGGAGTCAACGGAAGGTAAAATAGGTTTCCCTCCCGAGTTCCTCCATGCAGAACTGATGACTCCGATCACAAAGCCAGTGAGGAATCGGAACAACTGGTGTCGTCGTTTGGCTGGAAAAACAGCAACATGACCATTTTATGGCTCCGTCCATTAGAGAGAGCCCCGGGGTGATCTCACACAGGTCAAACCAAAGTGTGTTTAACATTCACCGTCTCAGGAGTGCACGGACGTTCCTGAAAGTGATTTGTGTGCTTGAGCTCCAGGTGCGGCGATGCCTGAGAGATACACGATTGTGATGCAAGCCAGAACAGGAAGGCCTGTAACGCAGGTGGGGTTATATGGCTGAGCGTCAGAGCGGCCGAAGGCTGATGTATCCCGAACGGGGTCACGAGGGCTGCCAGGGTGGCATGGTTCAGTGGGAACCGGCCTGGTAGTGCGTCAGTGGGGAGAGTGATGGTGCCAGGCCTGGCTGGGACCCTGGACGGTGCGCTGTTCCCGGCGGCGTTTGATTTACAGGCTTGTGCTGGATCTGGGCTCCCTGACACAGCTGACCTCTCTAGGTTGAGGGTCAATAGGTTAGGGATGGGAGCACCAAATGGTCGTCTGAAAAAGCTGAAAAAGGGACAGGCCGTCTCTATGGAATAGTCGTCTGTACCATTCCTCCGTCTGATGCACTGTTTGTGTACTGTGGGGGGTGACACGTTTACCATTTGCTGGGAAACGTTCACATGTAATGTGAAGAAAACTCACCAAGTCTGTGGTGCTCAAATAGATAGTTCACCCAAAAATGAAAAATCAAACACTCCAATCAATTTCATTTCGTAGTTGAAACAAAATAGGGCAATAAATATTTTTAAAAGTAGTCTATACTGCTTATGTGTTATAGTTGGAAAATATTTAATTAATTTTTAATTTTGTAAAAATATTTTTAATAATTCCCTGTTCGTTTTTTTCCCTTCATCGTAACTCTCAAATCCCTTTCACTTTCATATTCAGATAATAAATGTCTTCTTTAAACACATTACAACAGGTTTAGGATAACTGAGAGCAATAAACATTCATTCATGTGTGTTTTATGACCAGGCAAGTTGCAATACAGCAAGTTTAAGTGCACTAAGGTTTGAGAGGTACAGTGAAATATGTATTTGTATATGCTTTTTTATTTTTTAAAGAAGTTGCCAAGGCTGCATTTATTTGATAAAAAATACAGTAAAATCAAATAACTAAATAGTTAATTTAAAATAACAATTTTCTATAAAAATTAAAATAAAAGTTTAAATGTAATTCATTCCTGTGATGCAAAGCTGAATTCTCAGCATCATTACACCAGTCTTCAGTGTCACATGATCCTTCAGAAATCATTCTAATATGCTGATTTGCTGCTTAAGAAACATTTCTTATTATTATCAATGTTGAAAACAGGCGTTCATTTTTTTCTCAGGATTCAATGATAAATAGAAAGTTCAAAAGAACAGCTTTTATTTGAAATAGAAATCTTTTGTGACATTATAAATGTCATTAGGCTACTCTCACTTTTTAAATCTAATGTATTAAATTGTGTAATGTATTAAACAAAAATTTGAACAGTAGTGTGTACAAACATGTGCATGACTATATATGTTGAGTGCATTAATATGTTAATTTTATTATTTTTGTGTGTCCTTTAATTATTATCCACTTTACTGCATGGCGAAGAGCAGCTGGAACATTCTGCAAAACATCTCATTTTGTGTTTTACGTAAGTCATACAGGTTTGGAACGTCATGAGGGTGAGTAAATGATGACAGTTTTCATTTATGGGTGAACTATTCTTTTAAAATGAGTGTAGATGCTTTGTGTCTGATTTTTCCATCACAATCATGTGTATCTTTGTATTTCAAACAGGCCACTGTTAAATACATGAGCTCTAAGCAAAATTTGCATTGTTTTCAGATTTCAAACAAAGAGTTGAAACAGTGCATTCAGAGAGGATATTCCCTGGACTGATTGTTTATCTGTTTTGGCATTTTGGAGGCAAAGTAGACAATTAGATTTAAGGTGAGAGTAATAGCTCATTAAGTCTTTTTAATTTGGAGGATTTTTTTTTGTCCGGCTGCTCGGCAAACGAATGAGACTAGTGAAAGAGAGGAAAGACAAAGCTGAAATGGGGAGGACAATATCCTTGTGTGGGAGAATTAGTTACACTCAGTAGTCCGAGTATTCAAAGCAGAGAGGAGATCAGCAGGGATTAAGACAAAGTCTACACAGGTGGGTGATGGGGGTCACATGACAGGACATTACCTCGTTTGGGACATTAGAGAGTAAGACAGGATGATATTTGAGTGTTATTTAATGACACGGCTCATAGTGAAACACGATCTGACACATACCACGCTAATAAAAACAACAAAAGACTTGTAAATCTTTTCTAAAATGTAGTTCAAATACAGTACCTTTTTTAAAGTTAACACAATCCACAGGAAGAGTTCATAAAAATGTGAATATGTTTGGAAAAATAGCAGTTACATTCAAAATGCACTCAAATTTAGATCAAAACCACTTCACTGAAAAAAAGAAAAAGGAAAAAACAACATAGTTTGATATGTGTGTCAGTAATCGTTATGTTTACAACTTACAAAAATCATTTTACACAGTGTAGAATTTAACTTTTGTTTAATTTTTTAAAAGTGTGAGTAGTGCTTGCTTGCCCATTTGTTTGTTTGTCTGTCTGTCTATCTGTGTCTTTCTTTGTTTATTTATTTATACCAGGCAAAAGTTTCCATGGCATTTCTACAGGTGCATCTCAATAAATTAGAATGTCATGGAAAAGTTCATTTATTTCAGTAATTCAACTCAAATTGTGAAACTCGTGTATTAAATAAATTCAATGCACACAGACTGAAGTAGTTTAAGTCTTTGGTTCTTTTAATTGTGATGATTTTGGCTCACATTTAACAAAAACCCACCAATTCACTATCTCAACAAATTAGAATATGGTGACATGCCAATCAGCTAATCAACTCAAAACACCTGCAAAGGTTTCCTGAGCCTTCAAAATGGCCTCTCAGTTTGGTTCACTAGGCTACACAAGCATGGGGAAGACTGCTGATCTGACAGTTGTCCACAAGACAATCATTGACACCCTTCACAAGGAGGGTAAGCCACAAATGAAATTTTGGAGCACTTCATGCTTCCTTTTTGAAGATGCTGATTTCATTTTCCAGCAGGATTTGGCACCTTTGAGTCAAAAGC